CTCTCTCTTGGTGACACACCGGTGTGGTGCGTCTACTTACTTGAAATCGTCCGAAAGGTAGACGCATAGGTGCCGAAGAGAATACAAAGCGGCAGTAGAAATGTGAAGACCAGCGTAAATGTTGTATACAATTGCTCCTGCCAATGTGCCGTATAGAAGCCATGCGTCACACATTGATGAAACTCCTCCACGAATGGTCCTCGCGCCACATGAAATATGAAAAACTATAAAATTAAATTTATTTACTTTATCATAAAGAAATATGTTCGGCAAATGTTTGTGATATTAAATACATATAGGCCTTTTTGTTCGTTATATACACAATTATTTGTAATATAATCTCCAAAATTTATAAGTGTCGTAAATTTTTAGCCCACACTTGGACGCATGTACGAGGGTGTTGTGTATTTTTACGATGAATGGAAATATAGGGTAGATACCAGTGATTGAAAAAGAACATGATTACAACAAAAAAAAAAACTCCGGTGCTTTTCTTTTATCTGACATAGTTGAGAAAAGAGCTAGATAGTAAATAAAAAAATTGGAAAATTAGAACGTTTTATTTATTTTCTTGCCTAAAGGCAATGTCACACGGTTGGTACATTTGTACATTTTTTATATTGGGCTATTGGTATAAAATAAAAAAAATTGGGACGACAATTTTTTTTTTTTGTAGACAAACGATTGCTACAATATAGCGAACTTGTATTGAAAAAGTTAAACAAATTCCACGATTGGTATAAAGAAAAATATTTGTATATCCACACGATTGGCATACGATTTGCACCAAATTTTGGACAAACGCCCAACGGCGTGACTCTGTCTTATTGTACTAAACAACTTGTGCTTTCCCACGTGATTTTTAATTATTCAAATCCCCAAATCTCAAAAATAAAATTGATTTCTGGTTTGAAAGTTGTATCAAGTACTAGCTAAAATTTATTATTCATTCGACGGGTCAAATTTATTTGTGATTCGATTCATCGCACAAATAGAAAATAAAATTTATTTTTAATTTGATTCGTCACCCAAATAACGAATTAATTTCATTTGCCGACCAAATCAAATTGATTCGCGATTTTCCAACTAAAAACGCCCTTTTCATGTAACGCAAGCACGATTTTGAAGAAAATAAAATTTATTTTTTATTTGTCCGACAAATCAAATACCAAATAAATTTTATTTCTTATTTGGTCGAAGCTACTAAATTTGTTTAAATATGTTGATGGGGCTTAAACCTCTTGCCAGGGCCTTACAAGGAGATTTACTGTGAAAATTGGGGCATTTTAAGATAGACCATGGGGTTTCCATCTGTTGTCACACTATTGAGAAATATTAAAATTTAGTAGGCTAGGTTAGATGAGGCCGATCTGGCCGGTGTTGAGCTGCACATAGACCGGTACGTTCTTAGCGATACCAGTTGGAGTTCGATCGTAGGACATCGGCGTAGAAAATGATCCAACATTATCCTGGTCTGCCGCTTGCGACACTGCCTGCACCTGCCCATGTTAGTGAAACTCATTTTTTTTTTTGCATATGCGACCATTAGCATATATATCCCGTGGTCAATGCGGTAGTAACTCTGCAATCGTTCCTTGATAGCCTGACTTTCAGCGGCACACACACTCTCGTTACCATTTCAGAGCCGTCCGTAAAAATGTTGAGGAATCTACGGCTAGGTTTTCATTTATTTTGGTACCATGTTTGGCAGGAACAATTTTTTTGTGAGTGGCAACACTGATTTTGACTTAACAGAATTTTCTCACTGTTTACTGCAGTCGTTGCCATTCTGCGATTACAAAAATTCTCCCTCGTCTGCGTGCCAATACAATTGTATTTAGCTACTACCAACCAACATACTTTCGTTGTACTTTTGTAATGTTAACCGTTAAAAGCAAAGTAAAACGCCACCACGTTGTTATTGTATATTTATGGATATGTGTATGTATGTACATACATACATACATATTAATAAGCTTACATATATTGACACACGTAAAAGTTATCAAACAGAGTATTTATGACGCTTACACTTTATAATACGTGCGCCGTTATATTATGACCACAACTGAGAATAAATTGTAAAAGTTTTGTGGCGCACGTTTAGACGAGGCAAGTGCAGCCGGATGTTGAAAGGAGGCACAGAATAATAACAAAATGAGAAAACACACTAAAAAAAAAAACCAATTAATCTCAAAAACATAAAAACCAAAACCACTACGATCTGGTAGCCAGTAGTCAAATTACACAAAGCTCCATTAACTTTTTTTGGAGGCATAAATATTTACAGATGTACATATACTGGAGGAAACAACAGTTGAAAGTATGTACATACATACATATAGTACATTCATATTTTATGTACATATGCACCATGAACATTGCAATGCGAATATTTTTTTATTCA